AGGTTAGTTGCAGGAATATTGACCAGTGTATGGTCAACATATAGCATAGGTTTACTTTTAGAACATTTCTTTGTTGTGACATACTGTATGAGTGTTCTTCATTTTCTTACATATTGTGAGTCTCCAGTGACCTTGAATTGTCTTTCTCTGTTTTAGTCATCTAATGATTCAATCTGCAGAAGAAATGTGAAAAAGTACTAAAAACAGAAATCTGAGTTTACCATTTGTTGTCCAAAAGTTTTGGAGGGGCTTCCTGCATCTCCAAAAATAGATTGTCCATTTAGAATTTTGATTTATTACTTTTAAATATACTCCTTTTCTGCAAAAGAAATATAACACATGAGATGTTCTGTTTATTTCTTTTGAGGAGATACTTCCAATTACCCAAGCTAAACACATATTTATTCACAGGGGCTGCATGGCTGAGCACTCCCTCTGTTCACATTAGCTCCCTGGCTGTGAGGACAATGATGTGTAATGAAAATGCAAAGTCCACTTACAGGGTGTAGTTACTTCTTCCAAAGTGCACTATTATATCTATTGAAATTTTCTAAATAAATGAGTCAAAATGCATATTCAAGTATTTTTATTTAGCTATATCAGCTTTATCTGTAGGCACTACTAAATAAAGATCTAATGTTTGCCTGTTCAATAATGTTGAATAAGTCAGCAATTTCCCTTACTTTTCTATGTGTTTGTATATTAGGGTGTACATAAATACTGTCTGTGTTGTGTCAGCAATATTTCCCAAGTTTTCTGTCTTCATAGCAGTCGTGTACAGAAAGTGAAGGGATATCAGGACATACAATTCTAGATTGTGGAGTACTGTCATTTTTTCTGAAGCTGATCTTCTGGGCATATACACATAATCACATCTCTCTAATAAGCCTCTATACACTCTATCCACAACCACCACCAAAGAGTTTGGCTGAGTCCTGCTGTCGATTTCTTTAGCTTGTTTTTCTTTTAGTGGTACTCTTGATAGTAAACCTGTGTATTTTCAAAAGCCTTTTTAACAATTGACAAAATGCTTTAAATAAAAACTGCTTTTTTAATCACTTTTTTTTGCAGTCACAAGGAATGTAGACATCCCTTGTGACAGCAATAGGCACGTGACTGGTACTCTTTATGGAGGGATCTGGGGTCTATAAGATTGTGTTTTTGAATGATTTCAGATTTTATAAAATGATGCTAATAGTTTCCGAGTAAACCAGAAGTGATGTCAGGTCATCACTTCCAGTTTACTATAAGGGAGACCCGATCAAAGCTGATTCCAGCTTTGTTCCTCTGTCTGGTCAGCCAGTGGACATGCCAGCTGGTCACTTGGGACTCTCGGGGATGGGAGATCCCAAGACGATAGTGTGTTCCTCTACTAAGCCAAGAAATGAGCGATACCACATCCCACTTAGAATATACAAACACGGGTATATTGGACTTTTAGGTACCTGTTTGCCAATATTTATATGAGATACATGAGATGATTTACATAAGATTACATGAGATTCTTAGATTGTAAGCTCCAAGGAGCAGGGCCCTTCTAACCCTCTTGTATTGAACTGTATTGTTGCTGTATTGTCTCCCGTTATATTGTAAAGCGCTGAGCAAACTGTTGGCGCTATATAAATCCTGTATAATAATAATACTAAAGATATATAGTTTTTATTAACTACATAATAGTAAAAAGCTCATGAATCTGTATGGCTTATTACAGATAATAAACATCATAAAAATGTAGCAATGATACAATGTGAAGTGTAGACACCATCACAGTCTAAAAACATCAAGAGTCCAGAGAAAAGCTCCAACGCGTTTTGACTTAGCATTTTGAGGATAGCATATGTCTTCTTCAAGGGGTTACTCGTTATGATGATTTCTACAATACCCATGAATTTTTATATACATACAACCCAAAAGAATTAATGAAAAAAGAACAAGGGAGCATAAATTTAAGTATTAGACTAACTCACATTAGGTGTATAGCATCCATTACAAAACCCATAAACAAAGCTGACTTAAGGGGGTGCTCTCCATAGGTCCAAAATAAGCACATGGGATAAAGCAGGGCCATAAGGGAATAAAGGAAACCTGCAAAGGTTGGGTACATTAAACTGATGTATATTCAACACATATAACAAGGTTAGCAACTGTCAGGGCTCCCAGGTGTGACCAGAGGTGTGTGGCTGACGCAGGGAAACGCAGACCTCAGATATGTTATAAACAATATAATTTATTAACACTAACAATACAAACATAAACGCAGTGCAATACTAAAACATAATACAGTGCAACCAAACCAAACCAAACCAACCACCCACAGATAACAGTACATACAAGCAAGCATCGTCAGGCAGGCCGTGTCAATATCAATAGGGCAGGTAGGTACAGGGGGAGCAAGCGGAGATTGGTCGGGGTCACAGGCCAGGTTCAGCAGGTAGCAAGCAGCATAGTACAGAGGGTCAGGCAGAGGGATGGTCAGGGTCACAAGCCAGGGATCAGAACAGGTAGCAAGCAGCGTGGTACAGAGGGTCAGGCAGAAGGATGGTCAGGAGCGAGCCGGGATCAGAGCAGGAGAAGTCAGCAGCGGTTCAGAAACAGGATGCAGGACAGAAACAGGATACAGGGCCCAGGACAAACACAACACCAAGGCAGAGTCTGTGGGTCTGGCCATCCCTTAAATACCCCAGCATAATCAGTTCCAGGTGTTAGCTGGCTGCAAAGTTGAGTCTCTGATTGCTGGGAGCATCCGCTGGCCAGCCCTGGTACTGCAGATCAAAAGGCAGGTGAGTCCCACCATTGCTGGCCAGTCCATTCCTGACAGCAACTATGCAAAAAACAACAACAACACACATTTGTATAGTAACACTATCATTATATTACCTAGATCAAAACAGGCCTGGGTAGAAAAATCTCTTAGAAAGTTTATATTTTAGCTTCACAGTTCCCCAGATGGTACATTCCCAAGGGAAGAAATAGAATTCCCCTAAAAAAATCCAAACAAAGAAACTCAATGTCCAACTTCATTAAAAAGGATATCAATTCCCTTACCTAAAATACATTGATTAAGGCATAGCTTACCAGAGACTGGATCATGCAGTTACTGACTCGCTCCCCCAGGATGGTCAGAATGGACACCCCAAACACAAAAGGAAGGAGACTAGGGCAAAATTTATATAGTATAAAAGATTTGAGTCACTTGATATTACATGGCCAATAATAAGAGGAACTGTGGCTCCAGAATTCACACAATGTGGTGTCCCCACTGAGTATGATGGCATGCCCGGAGAGCATGCAATGTCTAGTGCGTGATGACATCACTTCCGGAAATACGCAGGAAGGTGCCGTGGCCATGATGCAGAAGGTTCAGGAGCAGGGGTGGACTGACAACTCATGGGGCCCCTGGGCAATAGGGGATCATGGGGCCCCTGTGTCCTTGCCCAAACTCAAAAAAGCCTATGAAAAAGGAACCAGGGGCATCTCATGGGGCCCCCTACTGACCCCGGGCCCTCGGGCAGTGCCCAAGTTTCCAAATGGTCAGTCCACCCCTGTTCAAGAGGGATGTCCAAGGAGGAAAAAAACCTACACCTAGCATGTAAAAGTAGAAGGAACATCCTCCGGATCCTAAAGGAGGCAACTGCAGCAATGGTCGAGTTATAATTTTTTACGGCGAGCAATTTCCTACAAAGTAAAAGTAATCTGAGCAGCTATACAGTCGCTGGATCACTTTTACAGGTGATAAAAAGGGGTCCCCCCTTCTCACTGCTGCTGCTTTTAACTGGCTCTCTTGTTCCATTGGGGAGTCCAATAACGATGTGACCAGCCACATCCGATGCCCATGACAGGGAGAAAGGAACTGACAGAACTGTCAGAAATTGGAAACAACAAGGATTTTGAGGGCATTGGAGGAGGAGGATTGGAGGACAGAGGAGATAAATGGGGTCTAAGATGTCTTAGTAAAGAGTACCTGTTGCTGCCCATGTTGTCACAAGGAATGTTGTTTATCACTTGTGATACCAATAAAGTTGATCTGAAAAAAATGAAATGGAGTGTAAAAAGAATTTAAGCTACATAAAAAATAAAGCACCTCCATTCCCCCATGCTCACATGCCGGGCCGCCGATAAGTGGGTACCACTGGTCCTCTTGTAGGGGGCCTAGGCTCCATCAATTTAACTAGGGGGCCCAGGCAGCTTCTTGGTACATTATAACGTGCAAGATCAGTTCCAAGAATGTCCAGGAAAAAATAACATTTCCCTGGGCCCCATTTTATCATCAGAAGAGAAGGAACTATTTGTTTAATTGATCAAATTTTGTACAATAAAAATTAATTTCTTTTTTGAGAAAAATTTTGAGAAAAATGCCTTTTGATTGGTTGTTGTTTTAAAGTGTAGTCTCTTTAAAATCCCATGGGCAATTTTAGCAATTGAGAGATTTTAAGCATATATATAGTATGATATATTAATTTAAACTTAGTGGTTGAAATAAATATAGAATCCTTATAGAGGGTATTAATTCTTAGGATGTATTCTTCTTGGCCAGCAATAGGGAATTCTCTAGCAAGGCAGATTTTATATACTGCAGTGCTGGCAGCAAAGCCCATAGTACAGCAGGCAGTCCTGTAACCTACCCCTTCTGAGTATGTTGTGCCTGTCTAGATATAAAGAAAAAAATATTGTTGTGTTGCTAGGGAATTTTCCAAGAAATAAAATCCCTTGATTTGTATCTGAATGAACACACTATGAGGCAAAAATCAAATTTCAATTTTAATAAAGTGTATTCATAAAGATATGTTATCTATACAGAACATACACAGTTTGTCACTGTAAAATGCAGATATTTTCCAATATTGCAACATTGAGATTGTAAAAGTAAGACTGTTAAGAAACACTGAGCCTGTTACTGAACCACAAACCCACAACCATTTACCAACGATGATCAGTGCCCAGCAGTGCCATCCACCAGTGCCACCCATAAGTGCCCAGCAGTGCCACCCACCTATTCCTATCAGTGCCTAGCAGTGCCACCCACCTGTGCCCATCAATGCCACCCACCAGAGCCCAGCAGTATCCCCCATCAGTGCCACCCATCAGTGCTGCCTATCAGTGCCACCCATCAGTGCCCAGCAGTGTCACCCAGCAGTGCTACCCAGCAGTGCCACCCATCAGTGCCCATCAGTGCCACCCATCAGTGCCCAGCAGTGCCACCAGTCAGTGCTGTCAGTCAGTGCTGCCCATCAGTACCCATCAGTGCTGCCTATCAGTGCCCATAAGTGCTGCATATCAGTGTCCCTCATTGCTGCATATCAGAGCAGCATCATCAGTGCCACCTCATCCGTGCCACCCCATCAGTGCCCATCAGTGCTGCCTATCCGTGCCATCCCATCAGTATAAAATTTTATGATAGAAACAAAGAAAAACTTTTTTTTCAATTTTTTTTGCTCTTTTTTTGTTTATAGTGCAAAAAATAAAACACCCAGAGGTGATTAAATACCACCAAAGAAAGCTCTATTTGTATGAAAAAAAATGATAAAAATGTCATCTGGGTACAATATTGCATGTCACTCAAAGTGCGACAGCATTGAAAGCTGAAAATTGGCCTGGGCAGGCAGGGGGTATAAGTACCCGGTAAGCAATTGGTTGGTGATTGGTTAGGCTCTCTGTGCTACCTTTGTGGATATAAATGCAGGGGTATTTTTCTGACATTCATTAGAACTGAAGACGTGGCTTGGATAAGCTACAACACATCTTCAACACAACTGAACAAAATAAAGCTGAATGTGACTAACTATTACTAGATATACTGGGTAGGATGATTGATGGGGTATGACCAACAAAATGTGAACATTCCTTCTAGCTTAACGTATTACCCTGGACTTGACAACAAGCATACATTAATAATGATTTAGTATTATCATGCAAGGTTTCTCATTTTTATGCTTTACATGGCTTTGGGCATTGAAGGAATTCTGAGGCCAAAGCTGTAATAGCTAAACTTATTTTGCCTGTTTCATATACAGTAATTTTTAGACTGATAGGATTGAAACCACCATATTGATTAATTGTGTTGTGTTGACATGCTTAATGAAATGATGCCACCATGAGAGATAACATGGGCTATTCATGAAAAATCCTAATTGGAATGCTTTCTGTTTCTGTTGTAACTAAATGAAACCCATACATCACATACATCAGGTATGTGCTCTGCTTCTTTATGATGACTTACCCATATGCACATCCTGTATATACAACTCTGGTAATGATTGTCCACAAAGTAATAGGACATCTCCAAAATAGTTGGATCATTTTATTAGCTGGGGGAAGGAGAATTCTTTATCACAAGGGCAGCTGTAGAGTTTTGGTCTTCTGTTAGATCCACTACCTGTACCTTAGCATAGATAAAGTGACCTTGTTTCTAACTCAGCAAAATAAAACTAAAAGCAGAAAAATAAGAACATGAATATTTGCTTTCCTGCAGGTGGTATGTTAACTTTTCTCTTTGAGAACTTTGGCTGATGCTGTTAACCAGTTCATCCAAGTGTGTTGTAAATCTGGCCCTCCTCCATACAATGTGGTTTCTCCTACCAGCTCCTATGGCAGAACATGACACATTAATGACATAGGGGCATGTGGTATGGGACCAGGAATCTGACAAACCTGGAAGTGTGAGAAACCGGCGTTGGTCAGAGCTAGGAAGTTAGTGACCTTAGTGTTTTAACGCTATTGCACTTAGGTTGATTCGTAGTCTGATCATCACTAAAAATCAATGATATAATATTGCAATCATGATGCAGTGATCTCCTAGATTGTAAGCTTGAAAGAGCAGGGCCCTCAAACCCCTCGTGTATTGTTTTGTTACTGTATTGTCTCATGTTCTGTCCCCCACTATAATGTACAGCGCTGAGCAAACCTTCTGGCTCTATATAAATACTGTATAATAATAATAATGAGCACCTAAGTCCATAGAACTTTGCATTTTAACATCTATAGATTCATATACAAAATGGTATAAAAAATCCAACAAAACAAGGAAACTTGTCAAAACAGATTTGAAGCCTATTCAGAAAGTTAAAGCCTGCAGACTTCAATAGTAATGATCAAAAGAATTATGTAAAACGTCAATACTAATTTGGTACTCAAAAGACTCAAAAGGTACAGCAGACTCTGTAGAAGAAGGGGAAGTGTGAATCCATAGACTCTGTAGGCTGTGAAAGTGGAATTAGTGATTAAGCTGATAGCATACACATTGAATAGGCTTCATGTGGAAAGAACACAGGTGTACTATCAGAAAAAGCTTAATTCACTGCAGTAATTATATGACAATAATCGACAACGGACACATTTCAAAAACTAAATAGCATTCTAGAGACTTGCAAAAAGGAACACATCCACATCTAAGATGTTTCAATTCAATCATTCTGATCCTTTCATTGATCCTGGGTCGCAATATTAAGCATGTATGTTTTTAGGTGTATTGTTCAGTGACTTTAGTCTTGCCCTTTGTTCTTGCGGTAGACTGGTTCATGGTTTTCTTACCTAAAATCATTCATGGAATAAAAGGTTTTCTGCTGTTTGTAAAATCTCATTAGCGCCTTATATATGATTTAAATCATTACTCAGAAGGCTAAGTTTATACTTGTGGTTGGGGGACATTAAAAACAGGCAGTTGCAAAGGCTGCCATATGGATTTGTATACTTTCCATGACCGTAAATGTTTTGCTTCATTTTAAACCAATAATTACACTCCCTGTCATGTTCAGCAGGCAGTTCCACCCATTAAGGACTCATTTACACATACTTCAAAAGGTGACATTTGGCAGGCTTTTTTAACCACTCCGAAAGGTTTCCCCCCCTACATGACCAGGGCATATTTTGCTATTCAGCACTACACTATTTTAATTGGCAATTGTCTGTCATGCAACACTGTACTCAAATGAAATTTATATTATTTTTTTCCACACAAATAGAGCTTCCATTTGGTGGTATTTGATCACCACTGTTTTTTTTTATGTTTTGTTATATAAATGAAAAAAGACATATAAAATCAAATTTCTTCATAAATTTAGGCCAAAATGTATTCTTCTAAAAAAAATCCAAATAAGTGTATATTAATTGATTGGTGTGAAAGATTTAGCGTCTACAAACTATGGTATATATACTGAAATTTACGCAGCTATGATGCTATACTGGTAATGGTGGTGATCAGATAAATATATATATATATATAAAATATTTATTTATTTATATATAGTGGGACTGTGATAGTGTAGCAGGAAATCTTGTGCTAGCTGAAGCAGCTGAAGCTGGCTAACTGACTAACTGACACTGATATCAATAGTGACCAGGGGTGGACTGACCATTTGGAAACTCGGGCACAATGAGATGCCCCTGGTACCTTTTTCATAGGCTTTTTTTAGTTTGGGCAAGGACACAGGAGCCCCATGATCCCCTATTGCCCGGGGGCCCCATGAGTTGTCAGTCCACCCCTGATAGTGACACTAATACACGGAACAGTGCTAATACTGTATGCTGTCACTGTACTAATCACACTGGCTGGGAAGGGGTTAACATCTAGGATAAATCAAAGGGTTAACTGTGTGTCTAACAATGTGTAATGCACTTTAAACCCTAAGGGTCATAGTGAATAAACATTCCTGTTAACGGAATTTGTTTATTTCCTGTGCTGAGCTTTGTTTACTGTTCCACTGGTCCTTTGGCTCTATAGGCATATTGTCCGTTATGTTCAACAAAAGTAGAGTACAATATATTGTAATACGGTTTCATAAAACAGGGCAGAAGAAAGAAATGGGAAAGCAGCCAGATAAAACACAATATGCAATAACAGAAAATGTATTGGCACTTAAGAATTTTACCATCTCAAAGTTTTATCGGGCCTACAATAGTTATCTTTCTGCTAAACCTAGTTGTATTCATCAGTATTTAGAAACAGCCAGAACTTATAACACATAAGGCAAAAACTAAAGTGTGGTACCAGTAACCTATAGCAACCAGACATTGATTAATGATTAGACTAAACAGTATACTGAAGCGCTATTGGCTGATATGTCTAATAGCATTTGCCATCACTTTCCTTCCTTTCATCCATCAATTTACATTGAATACCCCTAATAATATACATAGAGAAATACAAATTAAAGCACAACACATTAAGAAATAAGTTACTATAAGTTAAACCACAAAGATTTTTGTCGATTTTTGCAATGTTGCTTTCCAAAAGCTGAAGAGAATAACCCTCAGTAGGCACCTAACCATATTTCACTGTTTATATCATAGTAGAGCATAAGTGATGAAATCACAATTCTATCATGCTAGGCGCTGTAGCATAATTTCTCAATAAGGATAGAAATATGCCTTGGCGTGCCCTGTCAGATGTGTTTTATGGACATATTTATGCATATCTCTATAAATATATAAATGTAGCAGCTTAGCCACATGAGTTGTTATCAGAATCAAGGGAAACAGAAATATATACAGTGTATCTATATATCTATTATTATATATATGGAAAATAATGGAACAAGCCCAGTTTTTTAATATTGCTAAAATTACTAAAGCTTTTAGGATTGGTATATCTTTTTTTATATGCATTTTTCAGTACAAAATAATTTCTTTAAAAAGAAGATGACAAACCTCTAAAAAAGTACAATATATGAAACATTCTTCAAAAACTCAATATAGATCTAATAACAAATGTATATTTATTATAATATTTTCAATGATGGATTTTATTTTGTAAATAGATGTAATTATATTTTGTTTATTGTAGAAATTTCTATTCTTTGATATTCCTTCTAAAGAAGTTGAATTGTCCAAGAAATGCACTGTGGGATCCTGAGGGATACATTTGATTTACATCTGGGATGTCCTTGTTACTATAGGAAATGTTGTTATAAACCCTATATTGGGTTCTTATAGTATTTTTTAGATATAGCACTTTTTTGTTTGTTGCTTTTTTAAAACAATTTTATTGCCAATAGTTTCTGGTTTTATGTTTATTTGGGATGAGGTATGGTTGGAATCCTTATGACTTCTTTTTTCCCTATTATACAAATTCTTATTGGATCTTCGATGGTCATACTGTGGAGCTTCCCTTTACACCATCTATCTCTCCCTTTTGGCTACTAAATTAGACAGACAATCACTGTGTCTATTAGGGAGGGTGAGGTTGGGATGAACCAGAATGAAATCAATCAAGCTTTGGTCTAAATTGCATAATAGAGAACCCTATGTTCTGGGATCCTGGGGTGCTTCGGGAAAGAAACTAAGAAATATGCAAGAATGTAGAGGTACCTATTATACATTTCAGGGACTATCATCTTTGAAGATTTCTGATTTGTGGAAATGAAATCAGATGGCCTGTATATACCTGTGATTTGTCTGGTCAATAGGGGTAATAGAATTAGGAAAATTGCAAATTTAGCACTTGTTAAATCTTCTGAATAGTTGTACACTATATGGGCAAAAGTTTGTGGACACCTGACTATCACACCTATTTCAACTTGTTGAACATTGTATTTTAACCACTTGCCTACCAGGCACTTATACCCCCTTCCTTACCAGGCCAATTTTCAGCTTTCAGCGCTGCCGCACTTTGATTGACAATTGCGCGGTCATGCAACATTGTACCCATATGAAATTTTGATAATTTTTTTCTCACAAATAGAGCTTTCTTTTGGTGGTATTTAATTGCCACTGGGCACTTTACTTTTTGCGCTATAAATAAAAAAATTGCAAAAAATTTGAAAAAAAAAAATTTTTTCTTTGTTTCTATTATAAAATTTTTCAAACAGGTATTTTTTCTCCTTCACTGATGTGCGTTGATGAGGCAGCACTGATGGGCACTGATGGGCACTGATAGGCAGCACTAAAGGGCACTGATAGGCAGTACTAATGAGGTGGCACGGATAGGCGGCACTGATAGACAGCACTAATGAGGTGTCACGGATAGGCGGCACTAATATGCAGCACTGATAGGCGGCACTGATAGGTGACACTGATGATGGGTACTGATAGACGGCACTGACTGGCATCACTGCTGGGCACTGACTGGCGGCACTGACTGGCACAACCCCTGGGCACTGACTGGTGGCACTGACTGGCAGCACTGCTGGGCTGCACTGGTGGGTGGCACTGGTGGGCAGCACTGGTGGGTGGGCACAGGTGGGTGGGCACAGGTGGGTGGCACTGGTGGGCACAGGTTTGTGGGCACAGGTGGGTGGCACTTCTGGGCACAGGTAGGTGGCACTTCTGGGCACAGGTGTGTGACACTGCAGAGTGGCACAGGTGGGTGCACTGCTGGGCACAGGTGGGTGCACTGCTGGGCACAGGTGGGTGATCTGCTGGGCACAGGTGGGCGGAGCTAGTGGGCGCACTGCTGGGCACAGGTGGGCGGAACTTGCGGGTGGCACTGCTGGGCACCAATCATCAGGGTGTGTCCTGATGATCAGTGCCGATCCCCGCTGTGACAACTGCCGGTTCTCGGCAGTACTTTCCTCACAATCTGACAGCGTGAGGAAAGTGCAGCCGAGAACCGGCACTTGCATTTCCCTGTGATCAGCGTGTCATTGGACACCGCTGATCACGTGGTAAAAGGCCGCTGGGATCGGCCTTTTACCACATCACGTGATCAGCTGTGTCCATAGGAGAGCGCGTTCTGGGGGGACGTCATATGACGTCCACCCAGAACTGGCCGGCCGCAGTGAAGCCGTCATTTGGCTATCTGCGGTCGGCAACTAGTTAAACAATAGACATTAACATGGAGTTACCCTTCCCCCCATCCCTCTTGTTATGTCAGCTTCCACTATTCATTGAAGGCCTTTCACAAAATTTTGCATCCAACGCTTTGCATTGCACTTGGTGATGTAAGTTTTAGATGCAGCTGCTCGGCCATGGAAATCCATTTCATGAAGCTCTCTATGCACTGTTGTTGTGCTAATCTGAAGGCCACATGAAGTTTGGAGGTCTTTATCTATTGACTCTGCAGACAGCTGGTGACTTCTGCGCACTGTGTGCTTCAGCATGCGCTGACCTCGCTCTGTCATTTGTGGCCTACCACTTCATGGCTGAGTTGCTGTTCTTCCCAGTTGCTTCCACTTTGTTATAATACCACTAGTAGTTGGCCATGGAATAGTTTGTAGCAAGGAAATATCATGGACAGGTGGCAACCTATCATGGTGCCACGCTTGAATTCACTGAGCCCCCGAGAGCGACCCATTCTTTCACACACATTTGTAGAAGCAGTCTACATGCCTAGGTGCTTGAGTTTATATACCTGTGGCTATAGAGGTGATTGGAACACCCGAATCCAATGATTTGGAGGGGTGACCTAATATATATACAGTACATATATATATATATATATATATATATATATATTTTTGTACTACAATGAATCACTTAGCATTTGCAAAACTCCTTGCGCTAGGTTATGATGTGCAAAAATACTGTGTCATGCCGCCATTCGTGGCCTCGTCTGTCAATCACTGGGTCCCGGCAGGTGATTACTCGCAGGTGCCCAGTGATTGCTGAGGATCTCAGACAGGGAGGACAGCTGTTTTTAAACAAAACAGTTCTCCTCCCTGTTGGCTCGTGCACACTGCTTTGCATGGCACACAGACACAGCTCCCTATGTAAAACAGCACACAGCACACTGGTAACCATTTGATTGCCCCACGTGCAGGGGCGGACTGACTATTTGGAAACTCAGGCACTGCCCGAGGGCCTGAGGTCAGTAGGGGGCCCCGTGAGATGCCCTTGGTTCCTTTTTCATAGGCTTTTTTGAGTTTGGGCAAGGACACAGGGGCCCCATGATCCCCTATTGCCCGGGGGTCCCATAAGTTGTCAGTCCGCCCCTGCTGCCCACGTGTTAAACAATAATGTATGCCATTACTGAATCACCCACATTTCTGATTTTTAATGTTGTACTGTTTTGATTACTGAGGTTGAGTGTGAATATTTTTGTTTAGAAAGGGTGCTTTAGTCTATCTTAAACAGATTGGGCTGTTGTGCTACATTTTACTTTCAAAAGCATTCTTAGGGTCTGGCTAAGCAAAAATCAATAGTAATTACAGTATGAATGTACTGTTTCTAGCAAAAAGTGATTGGGAAGACCGCCTGGACCTTTAGTCTTATGTGTTATTGACAAAAATAATGAAAAGTGCAAGAATGGAAATGCAATGAACCAGTGCAAAAAAAACATATAATGCACATACAATGAAAAATGGTAAAATGTCCTTTATTCCATAAAATACATTTAAAGGCTTGATTATTTTTTCAAAGCTTCCTGTATACTTACATGCTAAATCTCGGTATATGAACATACATACAGTACATTGACACATACATTTCTCTCTCTACCATACTCACCCTTCACTGTTGCGTTTTAGCACTCATCTGGGCGGGTGGGCCTTAATGCCAAGTGAACAGCAGATATGCATTTATTTGTAAGCAAGTTATTGAGCTGAGAGTGAGCTCACTACATAGTCCCAACACAGCAACTAACATGTAATGGAAAGCTCCTGATGCACACTTGCAATTGTGAACTTTCCGATCATGTGACCTCTGTGACAGGCAATCACAGCTGTCACATGCCTGCCTTTGCCGCCCGCCACTTAGATCTAGTTAAAAGGCCATGAGACAGCAGTGAGAATGGGTTAAAGAGTATGTAAATCCTAAGTCCCGGGTCACACCGGTGCTACTTCAGATGCAACATGCGATTTACAAATCGTACCTGAAGTTGCATCTAATGTATTTCTTTGGCACTGTCTTAATCAGTGTGATTTGAAGTAGTGCGATTTAAAAAATAGTTCCTGCACTACTTTTTTTTTTTTCGATTTCATTGTGACTTCCATTGACTTCTGTTAAATGAAGTTGCAAGCCACACTGAAATCAGCATTGATCTGTAGCTTTGAAATTGTGCTACTTCAAGTGAAGTAGCACAATTTCAAAGAGAGAAAACAGGTGGCGCACACACTAGTGCATTATCCAAGGTTTATTGTAGGAGTGAAAGAATAATAAAAACATACTCACAGATGAAGCATGTATCTAAAAAGCATAGAAAAATGACAATGGCCACAACGGCAGGCAAGGTGTTCTCACTGTCAGTGCGGTCAAATGACTGACGCGTTTCGGGGACGAATCCCTTTCCTCAGAGCTGATGACCAACCTCTGATGCTGATGTATGATGAATGGAAAGTAAGAGGCATCAACAGCAAGGCTCATTTCTGCATTGCGTTTTGCGTTGAGTTTAGCATTTTTGGTGCATTTTCGCCGCAATCTTTATGCATTTTGCTTTATTTGGTTTTACTTTTTTTCATTTGTTTTGTTGCTAGGCAGATATAAAATGCAAAACGCATCAAAAAAGCAGCAAAAACACAGCAAAAACGCAATACATGCATTTCTTCTGCGTTTCCATTGAAGTCTATAGAAACAAAAATGCACTGGGTGAAAACGTAGAGTTGTGAACCTATCCCATAGGAAATCATGTTAAATGAACTGTACTGCATTTCTGCAAAATGCAAAACACTGCAGAAAACGCTTTGGTGTGAACCTAGGGTAAGGAAGGTTCATTGAGTCCTGCCTAATGTTCACAAAACTCAAACTTGGCATCAAATCCCATTGAAGTCTATTGGAGTAAAATCGGGTTAGTTTGTTCTGCAGATTTTTAAGGCAAGCTGTTGTCGAAAAACAATATGGAGAGCTGGGAACTAGGGCGTAGAAGATATATACTATACCAATGAAAAAAAAAAATAATGAGTCATTGTGAGCGAAATCTGAAAAGGCATTTTATGTTTCATTTTATTTAAAGGAATCTTTTCATGCAATGTGTGTCTGCTTATTTACTTTTTGTGAATGAATGGGCAAGAGGTACTAATGTACTCTTGTACTCATTTCCCTTGAAGATGAGATATCTGGGCTCTGGTTAGATAGGGGGCTTCCAGATTCCAAAATGAATCCTCCATTTAATGCCCACCTCCAAATAACTATTTTAGTTTACAACATTAAAGATAGTATGAGTTTAACATGCAGAGCTGCATGTACAAGGTATTTTAAGTGTCGGGTGGAAAGGTTTGCTTTAAGAGATGGTTACATGTTTGTCACGTGAACAGGAATTTGTCTGTACTTTCAGGGTATTTAAAGGAATACAATGTGGGGAAATACTGTAAGATTGTATTGCAGAAATATAGTAGACTGCTGTTGTTTTTGCCCTTTTGCCTTTAATATTTTACAGTGCCACTCACTACAACTCTGTAACATAAAGCTATCAGCAGACTATAAATGATTTTGCTTGTGATGAAAAAAAAAAAAGGAATAAATAATTTTATAAACCCAATATATTTCAGAGCAGTTATGCCAACCTATTGTATTCTCTACCATTTACTGCCACTGACACTTTATGCGTTCCCAAATACATATCAGAATCTAATAATATCACAGTGTAACACGGTTATAAACTGTTACTTAATAACATGTACATCAGTGTCATATACATATATTAGTGAAACCCATGCAAAACATACATAAAATGGGATGAAAATTCATAAATCATAAATTACACTGTTCAACAAATTTTTATTTTTTGCCAGTTTTGGAAACAAAAGGATCCATTTCTTAATGAATTTCACATTCTGAGTTCAAATATAACAATGAAATTTGTCAATTGGCTCTAGTTTTTCTGTAAACGGAAAGTTTTCTACTATAGGCGTAATGACTACATAATGCACAATAATTATATAGATAGATGTCTTTCCACAAATATAAAGCAAGTGATATTGACTACATAACAAAGCCTAAATGGCATAATATATTGCATAGGATTACCAAGAAAAATTATAGCCATAAGCTAAGTTGAATCATTTTAATACTTAGGATTCTCACTAGTTTTGTCTTCAGTTTGTGTCGGTTTTGCTTCTCTTGGCTTTTCTCTTGTATTCGAGGAAAGGGCTATCTCTTACAACTGCACGTGACTACACGCTTCAGGTTCTTCCCTCACTTGACTCAACCACAAAGGATTCTGGTGCTTTAGGAATTGGTAGCCCCTCTCCCATGAGGAACTGGACGTATTGCCGATGGAATATTTGGATAGTGCACAAATAACTTTTTCTTCTTATTTAGCCCTTTTACAATTGGAGGCACCATACAAAAGTAACAATTACTAACATGATCTGTTGGCTCTCTCCAAATCATTGGCACAGCGAAAGGCATAGATGCCTTTTTTCCATTCAACCATTGCTCCAGTGCCGTCCCACAAGAATTGCAGCATATATGTGGTGCCCAGCTCTTGTCCTGGTCTCCTATCTTGCAGCCAAAATACAAGTTGTAGGCTTTCTTAATCATTCCTGTTATCCTCCTTTTTTTTGTGAGATAAAAGTTATTTCACCGCAGATATATCAGAATTATCTGCTTTATTCACACAAGTTCGAGGCATTACTGAGTAGCCTATATAAGCATAAAACGAAATGTAAAGACGCTGTCGAACTACAATCAGCTACAGATACTGCAGCTTTTATGCAGTGAAGTGATGCAATTAAAGGCTAATATTGCATCATCTCAGTATACATGCAATTTTCTATTGGTCACCAGTATCAATTGCACAATATGCAGCTGAAGTTGCATCATAATTTTGAATGGCTTACGTCATTAGATGGGTGAATATATCATGGAAACTAGAGCCAATCAACATTTTTTAGGGTCATTTTTGTTTTCAGCACCCCAAAATTATGTAAGATTAGCTAATTTTATACCCAAAACTTTTTACCTGTTGAACAGTGTGAGTCATAGCATATTAACCTACCCCACCAATATTTATTTAAAAATATATTGCACTCACATTAAAATGTCAACTGGAGCACCACAGTAAAAGGCTTTCTTTCCCTTACAATTCGGTAAGGATTCGGTTCCCTTGTCACTTATCAAGATCTGCACAAATCCACTGATCGTTGGGAGGATTTTGATATCATCCCATTTTATGTATGGCTTGCATGAGTTTCACTAATATATGTATATGACACTGAGGTACTGTATACATTATTAAATGACAATTTATGACTGCGCTGCACTGTGATATTATTAGATATTAAATAATTTTAACTCCAAAAAAAGTTTTTAGGTGATGTTCTATGCACTCAGAGGTTTTTCAGTTTTAGCTTTTTTTGTGCTCATGTGCTTAGAACCCTAACATCTACAGAATCACAGAAGCTTGAGTTTTTTTTCTCAGATCTCCTGCTCATTACGGTCTGTTACACGTTTCCACTCATCAGAGTTTTATTAAACCCGGACTGAGATCTCATGGGGCCCCCGGGCAATAGGGAATCATGGGGCCCTTGTGTTCTCACCCACACTCAAACCACACCCCAAAAAGCCTATGAAATGTACTAGGGGCATCTCATGGGGCCCCGTACTGACTCTGGGCCCTCGGGAAGTGCCCGAGTGCCCGAATGGTCAGTCCGCCCCTGTTGGGCAATATAAGCAACTATATGTGGAACACATTAAAGAGCATATTCTGAATACCGTATTTTATTCTGAATGTACCACACTCATGTGACATTATTCCACTTGTTTCACTCCACATTGCTAGATCAGTGGGAATGAACAAGCAGGAAACCTCTTACTTCACTGCAAATCACAATCTCTGCGGCACCCTGCAAGTCTTGATTGTGTCAAGTGGGGGTGGCTAGCAAGGTAAATAAAGTCCCTATCACTCATGCCTTGCTGGCCCTGACTCACAATGAATGCTAATTTTCGCATGGTGTGGATAAAAGTATAGGGGGAGCTAATGTAATTTACACAGTTGAAAGTCACTTGGGTTGGCTCAAACAGCAAAAATGAGAAAGTAAATGGCTTCACAACAACCACTGACACAGCATGCACACCATTAGTGGCAATGCATCAGCCAGAGCTTCAGCTTCTATTTTCTATAGTATTGCTACTAACTTCAGATAGGTCTATGGAAACAGCAAGATCAACCAGGTATTTACAAAAAATTGAAAAATACAGGAGGTAAAAGGTAAAATACACAGATAAAGAACATCCTTATAAGTAAACAATGATACCGAAAATCATTATGTCTAATGACACTTTAAAGCAGAATTCCAGAATAAAGATGCAGGATGTGAATTACGTTACCTCCTGTCCACTGCTTAACTTTCAGCTTATTTGTTTGAATATTGCTATTTATTGTCAGTAGTCCTAACAGCATTATATACACAGTACCATCCAGTGAGAGGGATGAAACTGCTCCTGTACATCACACAGCAATGCAACTCTGTGACAACATGTCCCAAGATACATTGTAATAGCCTTAATGGTGGGGGGAGGTGGGTGGTGTGTTTTTTTTTTTTAGCAGAACATGAGGGGGCCTTTCTCTCTGAGTGACACCCTATACCTCCCCTGTGCTCTTTTTGATGAAGATTCCTCCTGTAGTGCAGAGGACCAAAATACCTGTCTTTGATGATCTGGCTGTACTATTCAAATGCAGAGTCTTGCAAACATAGAAGAGACTTTCATGGAAACAGGGCTGAAGAAAGAGTTATAAGGCAAAGCTTTAGTTGGGCTTTAATCTTCTTACTTACTGCCCAATCAGCCTTTGCGTTTACACTTGACAATACAAATAGAAAAAAAAACAATTAGAATGGAGGTTCCTGTGCTTTGTGGAAACAATGTACTGTAAGAGTAAAGCTGGGTACAAACCGGTCAACACGTGTAAAGCTGTCTTTTTGACAGAAGCCAGTCTAAGGATTATGGCACTGGTATGGCTTATTGTGGTGATAAGGATGCTGGAATGATGTATGACAGCAATCCGGGCACTAGTATGGTGAATGGTGGTGATCGTGGCGCTGATATGGCATATGGCGGGGATCAGGGTGCTGGCACAGGATATGGCAGTTATCAGGACACTGGTATGGTGGTGATCAGGACATTGGTATGATGGTGTTACTTGTGACTGGTGGCACTGGTGACACAGGGACAGGTGACAGGGTCTGGCTGCACTCTTTATTGTTGTTAGACTGGGGCAGTGATCAGAGACACTGGGGCAGGCTAGCAATGCATCTGTGAGTGTACATGCAGTCTGCCAGGCTGCTGTACACTCACAGACTGCAGGAACAGTTCTCTCTGCTGTCACAGCTGACCTGTGTGAGAGCAGGGAGAACCAATCTTTACTTCTGTTTCCCTATGTTTACCATGTGATTGCTGTGAATGGACACAGCAATCACATGGTAAAAGACAGATTAGTGATGTTATCCACTGTGTCCAGGGGGACACATGGATCACTGGGCTCCTGGGTGCATTCTCTGTGAGCTGTGCAGGTGGACATCAAGGTATGCTAACCTGCATCAGCGCTGCTTCCCATCCGCCATTTATAAGCTGTGGGTGGACTGGAATTAGTTAAAGGAATTTAGCATTTTTAAATATTGTCCTTTAAGCATTATCTAAATCTCTGAATCCCACCACTGAATCCCATCACTGAACCACATCACTAAATCCTTACCTATCAGCTCATAACATAGTCATTACTGTTTTTTTTTACTTTTGGATCCCATTGACTTCAATAGGGGTTCGGATTCATCAACTTTGCCTTTTAGCAATAAATAAATAAATCATGAACCATAACCATTGCCATCACCACCAACATTACTGCCGCTAACACTCTCCTCTCTTCTGCCACAGTGAATATATATATATATATATATATATATATATATATATATATATATTGCAAAAGTATTGGGACACCCCTCCAAATCATTGGATTCAGGTGTTCAAATCACCTCCATGGCTACAGGTATATAAAATCAAGCACCATAGATTGCTTATACAAACATTTGTGAAAGAATGGGTCGTTCTCAGGAGCTCAGTGAATTCAAGTGTGGTACCGTGATAGGTTGCCACCTGTGCAATAAGTCCATCCGTGAAATTTCCTTGCTACTAAATATTCCACAGTCAACTGTTAGTGGTATTATAACAAAGTGGAAGCAAACGGGAACACAGCAACTCAGACACGAAGTGTTTGGCCACGTAAAATGACGGCGTGGGGTCAACGCATGCTGAAGCGCAGTGCGCAGAAGTCACCAACTGCAGAGTCAATAGCTCCTCCAAACTTTATGTAGCCTTTAGATTAGCACAACAACAGTGTGTAGAGAGTTTCATGGAATGGGTTTTCATGGCCGAGCAGCTGCATCCAAGCCTTACATCATCAAGTGCAATGCAAAACGTCGGATGCTGTGGTGTAAAGCAAGTCACCAATGTACTCTAGAGCAGTGGATATATGTTCTCTGGAGTGACTAATCATGTTTTTCTGTCTGGAAATCTGATGGATGTGTCTGTGTTTGGTGGTTGCCAGGAGAACGGTACTTGCCTGACTGCATTGTGCCAAGTTTAAAGTTTGGTGGAGGGGGGATTATGGTGTGGGTTGTTTTTCAGGGGTTGGACTTGTCCCCTTACTTCTAGTGAAGTTTGGGGACAACCCTTCCTGTTCCAACATGACTGCGCACCAGTACAGAAAACAAGGTCCATAAAGACATGTATGAGCGAATTTGGGGTGGAGGAACTTGACTGGCCTGCATAGAGTTCTGACCTCAACCCAATAGAAAACCTTTTGGATGGATTATAGTGGAGACTACGAGCCAGGCCTTCTCGTCCGACATCAGTGCCTGACCTCACAAATGCAGTTCTGGAAAAATGGTCAAATATTCCCATATACTCCTAAACCTTGTGGACAGCCTTCCCAGAAGAGGTGAAGCTGTTATAGCAGCAAAAGGTGGTACAACATAATATTGAACCCTGTGGACTAAGAATGGGATGCCATTAAAATTCATGTGCGTGTAAAGGCAGGCGCCCTAATACTTTTGGCAATTTAGTGTATATATATATATATATATATATATATATATATATATATATATTCTCTGCGGTCTCTAATAACATGAAACATCCATAATGCTTGTAGCTAGATACCATGAGATTTATAACCTAGGTTTGGTAGCTGAAGTGCAGTGGTGATTTTACTTGGTAAAAAGCATACTATTTTATTCAGAATATTAATGTAATTTGACAATGTTGATATACAGTAATCAGCCATAACTCTATTGTAGTTTGTTGTGTGTGGGGCTGGTCAGGGTGCCCCTGCCGACACGTGTCCACAGCCAAAAGCACCTAAAATGGGCATGTGAGCATCAGAACTGGACCAGGAACAATGGAAGAAAGTGGCCTAGTGCATTACTTATTTGGGGAAGAGATGGCACTGGGATGAAGGCAAGTTGTTGAAGGCAGTGTGATGCTTTGGGCAATGTTATACTGGTAAACCATGGCTGGTATTCCATGATCGCAGTGGCCTTTCTTTGCAGGATAATGCACTCTGTCACACTGCAAAAATGGTTCAATAATGGTTTGAGGAGCACAATACAAGACAAGCAGAAATTCTGCATTTCAGAACTTTCATATTATTCAAAAATAAAGCATGAAAAGAACACTTTGTTTAGACGCCTTAGAACATTTAGACGCCTATCCGATTCCTTGCTTCATCTCAAGAACTGAACTTCATCAGTTGCTATGGCAACTGCTCTATTTTGATGCTGTTTTTATTATTACAGTTTTTATATGTATCAGCCCAAATGCATCAGTGATATGGCGTTTTTGTCATCAAACATTTCAAAAACAATTATGATTTATCATTGAGTTGCAACATGTGGAGTTTGTTTAACAACATTCCTTTTGTGGTAAGACATAGATAATAAACGATAGTACCTCAAAGCAGAGCAAGTTAACATACCAAAATAGAATTGGGAGAAACACAAGGCTTTGAAGTATAAATCCAACATAAATGCATTATTATATTAAAACAAATAAAATACAGTATTTCATAATATTAAGTTTAAAAATTAACATTTAATCCCAAATATTGTGCTCCAAAAAGAATTTCCTGTAGGTGCTGTTAATGGGGATATTAGTGGTTAAGGAAGCAGTATCTCATTTACAAAGTGGTAGAAAGGCAAGACTGTTAACACTAACTCTGCAGCTTTTTACTGTTATATATTTTATTCAGTCATGGAAGCTCCAAGCAATAAATTCACATCTCGATTATATTTGGTGTAATTGTACTCCAGTTATTTTTTTTTTTCAGTTTTGGATAGATTTGGGAAGAGCAAATACTGTCAAGCTCTTTCTACTGTCCATGACTCTGTAAAATAATAAATAAAATGCTGGCTAGCGAGCAATACTGAGCCATAACTATGGTGAAAATAGCATTTAGTTGAACTGTTTGTCATACTTCAGGTCCTGCTCACTCCGTGTGAAAGTGAAATACAGTTTTGTGTAGAAAAGTCTGAGATGGTCAGAGCACCCAGCCAGTCAGATTGTCTCTTTTTTTCTTGGCTATGGACAATCATGACTTTTTTGATGTTTTTTATGTTGTTACACAGCATCGAGGAGAGTATCCATTCTAGATGGTAGTGTGGTATAAAAGTAAAACTAAACATAACTCTATAATTGCTTATGTAAAAGGGTTTTAACAACATTCATTGGTACATACAGTATACATACGTTTATCAGAACTGAAGGCATTTGAAATTGACAAAGTGCAGTAAGAACCAACACTCTTGCATTTTCTGTCTAATAATATAGTAGGGATTGGAAGTCTCTGCATCAAGATAAAGAATTTGATTATAGTGATGAGTTAGCATGTAAGCTTGTTTGTGGACTGGATGCAGCCTTATCATTTATTTAGATGACAGAGCCTACCTTAGGGCTAATAAGGGGACTGGAGGACCTCAGTTATGAAAAATAATAACAAACATTATTATCCCCAGAAAAGAGAAGCTTAACAGGGATATGCTTACAATATACAAATCTATAAATGGTGAATCTAGCTTTGGGAGGAGGAACTATTCTTAGTTCTCTAAGAAGTTGTTCAACCTAAACTGCTTAAAGCAGAGCTCCAGTCCCCCCCCCCAAAAAAAAAAAGTCCTGTAGCTGCTGACTTTTAGTTTAAGGACACTTACCTGTCCAGGGATTCAGAAATGTCCTCATCTGAGCCGATTCCTCCTTCAGCTTTGGGTGCAGGGGTCAGCAGCCGATTTCCTATAGCACATGCACGAAGCATGCTAAGCTTTGTGAATGGTGAAGGTAAGGGGGGCCGAACTTCTGGCTCAGATCACCAAGGCGATCTGACCTGGAAGTAAGAGCAGGTACCTGTCAAAGCCATGTACCCGCTTACCCCCAAAAAGTGCCAAATGTAGCAGTGGAGGGGAGGATACAAACAAGAGGAAATCCGCTTTTGGGTGAAGTTCCCCTTTAAGGGGTTCTTTACTGTTCAAATGGTAAGGATGTGGAACTCCCCTCCACAGTTGGTGGTGTCAGAGGAGCGTGTAAATGCTTTCAAAAAAAACTTCTAGATGTGTTTTTTAAGCCTACACAACATACAGAGATATTGAAAATGGTAGCAACACCCACACACACACACACGCTGAACTGGATGGACAAGTGTCTTTCCCAAACCTTAACAACTGGGCCATTATTTAACTATGTTCCTGGATGTGGAACTCCCTTTCACAGTTGGTGGTGTCAGACTAGAGTGTAAATACATTCAAAAAACTTCTAGATGTTGTTTTTTTAGTGAACAGAGATATTGAAAATGGTACCAACACACACACACAACCACGCTGAACTGGATGGACAAGTGTCTTTCCCAAATCTTATCAAATGTGTAACTATGTAACTATGTACCTGGTAAGGGTTTTTTTTTTTAGTTAGGCATTTCTTCTACTAGCTGCCCTGTTTTCTAAATATCTTGGGTTACATTGTTAAATATTGAAAGGACATAAGTGAAACTGACCTGTTTTGCTTTGATGAAGTTTCAGAAAATGTGAGAAAATGCAATGGAGCCTTTGGACTGGCTAAGTGAGGGGTGTTTGCACTGTACTGGAGGTATGCTTGTGTTAAAGTCTCTATTTAAGTTTCAAGTTGGACTAGGGCTAAAGGAAAATGCAATATAATTATTTTTTCTGTTTATTTTTATTGAACTTAATAAATTGGTATTTTTTGTGTGTAAACAAATTCTCCATCACATCCTGAGTGAGTGTCATTGCAATCACTATGTCTTCATATCACCTTCTCAGAAACTATTCAATGAGCTGTGTTTACTAAACAACTTTCTGACAGTCCATTGAAAAGCATCTCTTTTTGAATTTACTTCTCTATCTAGCTTAACCTCCCTGGCGGTCTGATTATGTCAGTATTTTTTAATGTCAAAGCGGTACATTGTTTTGCATGGAAATTTGTTATTTTATATTGTAGGCCTGTAATTCTTAGGAATAACTCACTTAAATCTGTCCGAACAAGAGTCTAGTAAACATCACGGGTATGATAAAATTTGAAACACGAAATCATAAATTATAATATTATAAATAATTATAAAAAATAATAATATAATAATAATACATTTTATTCAATAATGTAATCAAACCAAAAACACTGAAATTTGAAATAGAGCACCAAGTTCTCACATCACTGAGCTCAGTCGCAGAATCGTCGCTGTCGTCACTTTCAGTGTCTGATAACGAAATTCCTCACAAATCACTATCACTCAATTCTGAAAGTGATTCTAATTCACTATCGCTATTATCTAGCTGGTCTAAAACCTCTTTTGACCTAAAGGGACGCTTTTTGGATGCCATGGACGTTCTCATGTTTCCAGGCAGAAAGAATGGTAAAAGTGCAGGCAGGGCACAGGACAAAGTACTAGGGACAAAACTAGGGACAAAACTGAGATGAA